AGCAGCAATGGGAGGCCGTACAGGGACCCATGAGACACTCTGGACCTGGCAAGCTTGGCCCAGCAGCATGGGCCTGGCAGCAGCATGGGTACGGGGGCCATGGCAGATTACGGGCCTGGCAGCAGCAATGGGAGGCCCGTAATCTGCCAGCACCCTTTGACAAAAAATGGAACACACCAGCAGTGTGAGGAGACCTGAAAGTGGCACATGGCAGAGTGTGGCGATGGAGACAGCAGCAATGGGAGGCCGTACAGGGACCCATGAGACACTCTGGACCTGGCAGCAGCATGAGCAGTAGAGGAGGCGGGTACGGGGGGGCCCATGGCAGATTACGGGCCTGGCAGCAGCAATGGGAGGCCCGTAATCTGCCAGCACCCTATGACAAAATGGAACCCACCAGCAGTGTGAGGAGACCTGAAAGTGGCACATGGCAGAGTGTGGCGATGGAGACAGCAGCAATGGGAGGCCGTACAGGGACCCATGAGACACTTCTGGACCTGGCAGCAGCATGAGGAGGCGGGTACGGGGGCCCATGGCAGATTACGGGCCTGGCAGCAGCAGCCAGGGGAGAGGCCCGTAATCTGCCAGCACCCTATGACAAAATGGAACCCACCAGCAGTGTGAGGAGACCTGAAAGTGGCACATGGCAGAGAGTGTGGCGATGGAGACCAGCAGCAATGGGAGGCCGTACAGGGACCCATGAGATAGACTCTGGACCTGGCAGCAGCATGAGGAGGCGGTACGGGGGCCCATGGCAGATTACGGGCCTGGCAGCAGCAGCAATGGGAGGCCCGTAATCTGCCAGCACCCTATGACAAAATGGAACCCACCAGCAGTGTGAGGAGACCTGAAAGTGGCACATGGCAGAGTGTGGCGATGGAGACAGCAGCAATGGCGAGGCCGTACAGGGACCCATGAGACACTCTGGACCTGGCAGCAGCATGAGGAGGCGGTACGGGGGCCCATGGCAGATTACGGGCCTGGCAGCAGCAATGGGAGGCCCGTAATCTGCCAGCACCCTATGACAAAATGGAATGGAACCCACCAGCAGTGTGAGGAGACCTGAAAGTGGCACATGGCAGAGTGTGGCGATGGAGACAGCAGCAATGGGAGGCCGTACAGGGACCCATGAGACACTCTGGGGGCAGCCTGAGCAGCAGACATGGAGGAGGCGGTACAGGGGCCCATGGCAGATTACGGGCCTGGCAGCAGCAATGGGAGGCCCGTAATCTGCCAGCACCCTATGACAAAATGGAACCCACCAGCAGTGTGAGGAGACCTGAAAGTGGCACATGGCAGAGTGTGGCGATGGAGACAGCAGCAATGGGAGGCCGTACAGGGACCCATGAGAGACTCTGGACCTGGCAGCAGCATGAGGAGCGGTAAGGGGGCCCATGGCAGATTACGGGCCTGGCAGCAGCAATGGGAGGCCCGTAATCTGCCAGCACCCTATGACAAAAATGGAACCCACACCAGCAGTGTGAGGAGACCTGAAAGTGGCACATGGCAGAGTGTGGCGATGGAGACAGCAGCAATGGGAGGCCGTACAGGGACCCATGAGACACACTCTGGACCTGGCAGCAGCATGAGGAGGCGGTACAGGGGCCCATGGCAGATTACGGGCCTGGCAGCAGCAATGGGAGGCCCGTAATCTGCCAGCACCCTATGACAAAATGGAACCACCAGCAGTGTGAGGAGACCTGAAAGTGGCACATGGCAGAGTGTGGCGATGGAGACAGCAGCAATGGGAGGCCGTACAGGGACCCATGACACACTCTGGACCTGGCAGCAGCAGAGGAGCGGTACAGGGGCCCATGACAGATTACGGTGGCAGGGGCCCATGGCAGATTACGGGCCTGGCAGCAGCAATGGAGGCCCGTAATCTGCCAGCACCCTATGACAAAATGGAACCCACCAGCAGTGTGAGGAGACCTGAAAGTGGCACATGGCAGAGTGTGGCGATGGAGACAGCAGCAATGGAGGAGGCCGTACAGGGACCCATGACACACTCTGGACCTGGCAGCAGCAAGAGGGAGGCGGTACAGGGGCCCATGGCAGAGTGGCGAAGCGTAAGCAGCTTAAATTGAAGGCCATACAGAGGCCTATGTTAAAAAAAAAACATGTTTGGGGCATGATTCATGGCGGATTTAGTCAGTTGTGTCAGGAACTGGTGGTTTGAAATCCAGACTAATCCACGCCTGATTCATTTTCACAAACGTGAGTCTCTCCACACTTTGGGTGGACAGTCGTGTCCTCCGCGGAGTTACAATACCTCCTGCCGCACTAAACACGCGCTCCGATGCCACGCTACTGGCCGGGCATGACAGCCTTTCAAGGGCAAATTCAGCTAGTTGGGGCCAAAGGTCAAGTTTCGTTGCCCAGTAGTCAAGGGGATTGTCTACCTCGGTTGGCAGGGTGCTGTCCAAGTAGGCCCAAGCCTGTTGTTTGAGGTCCTGCTCCAGGTCCACCTGATGCTGCTGCTGCTGAGCGGCTGGTTTTAGTAGTTTCCTCACTGCGCTGGTGAAGAAAGCTACTCATCATCGACTGCAGACTGAGGCAGCCGCTGCTGGTGGAGCTGCCACTGCTCCTACCACCCCACCCCTCCCCTGCTGCCATGGCAGCGGAACGCGAGCGCACAGGGCCCACAGTGTCTGAGGATGGACGTTGGCGCAGAAAGGCAGAGACCAACTGACTACATAGGTGGTTTTTTATAGTACGTTATTTTGGCCTCCCTCTCAGCAGGTGTGAAAAAGGCCACCATTTTTGAACGGTAGCGAGGGTCCAACAAGGTGGACAGCCAAAAGTCATCCCTCTGTCTGATGGTTATTATTCGGCTGTCGCTACGCAAGCAACCGAGCATGCTATGGGCCATTTGTGCCAAGGAATGCGAGGGACTCCCTGCCTCCATCTCCACAGCATACTGCCACGGTGCGTCTGGGTCCTCTGTCTCCTCCTCCTCCTCCTCTACCAGATGCTCCTGCTCCTCCACTCCTGTCCGCTGAGTGGAAAAACCACCCATTTCACTCAATAATTCCTGAGCACCAATGTCCTCCTCTACCTCCTCCTCTTCTCTCCTGTCCTGCCCCCACAGGGGTCATGTGGCGTTGAGATCTGTGCGCCACGTCTACCGCACCCTGACCAGCCATTGTTAACAGCATTTGTTCCAGGACGTGCAACAGAGGAATGACGTCGTTCATCCCATAGTCCTGCCGACTCACGAATAGCGTGGCCTCCTCAAAGGGCCTGAGCAAGCGGCAGGTGTCACGCATGAGCTGCCAATGGCTGACATCTAAGTTACACAGGGGAGTACCTTTTATCCGCTTGTAACATCAGGAAATCGGTGATGGCCTTTCGCTGTTCGTAAAGGCGGTCTAACATATGTAGGGTTGAATTCCACCTTGTTGCAACGTCGCAGATCAGGCGATGCTGTGGAATTCCGTTCTGCCGCTGCAGCTCAAGGAGGGTGTGCTTTGCGGTGTAGGAATGGCTGAAATGCATGCAAAGTTTACGTGACATTTTAAGGATGTCTTGCAGTGGGATGGTGGATTTTAGGAACCGCTTGACAACCAGATTGAACACGTGAGCCATGCATGGCGCATGGCACAACCTTCCTTGACGCAGAGCAGACACCATGTTCTTTCCGTTGTCGGTCAACATGGTTCCGATTTTCAGTTTGCGCGGAGACAGCCATCTGTCGATTTCTCTGTTCCTTACACTCAGAAGTTCCTCCCCTGTGTGACTACGTTCGCCAAGGCATACCAGGTGCAGCACAGCGTGACACCGTTGCGCCCTGCACATGTGATATGCCGGTCGGGTAATGGGACTTGGCACGGGGGGGCGGCTGAGGACACGGCGGAAGAAGAGGTGGTAGAGGCGGACATCTTTGCTGGACCAAGGACGTGCAAACGTGGAGGCAAAAGCGGCGTGACCTGTCCAAGTTGCTGGTGCGGCTGTGCCGGCACCACGTTCACCCAGTGGGCCGTAAATGACATGTACTGTCCCTGACCGTGGTTACAGCTCCACACGTCGGCGCTGCCGTGCACTTTGGCAGAGACCGACATGCTCAAAGACTGGCCCACCATCTCTTCTACATGTGAATGCAGGGCTGGCACTGCCTTTTTGGCGAAGAAATGCCGGCTTGGCACTCTCCACCGCGGTGCGGCACAAGCCATCATTTCTCGGAAAGGTGCTGAGTCCACCACTTGGAAAGGGAGGGACTGCAGCACCAGCAACTTGGACAGGAGGACGTTCAGCTTCTGCACCGTCGGGTGCGTGCTCGCAAACTGTTGTCTCTTGGAAACGGATTCCAAGAAAGACTGCTGACGGAATCCGTGAAGAGGAGTAGCAGGAGAAGGAGCATCTGAACGAGCGGAAGATGCCAACGAGCGACAACTCCCCTCAGCAGAGGTGTTGGAGCCTTGACTGGCTGATAGAGGGCGATTGACGTCGGGTGACGGAGCAAGTAACGGAGCGGGTGATGGAGCGGGGGCTGGGGCAGGCAGAACCGCCGTATCTTTATCACGGTTTTCCCAGGCCACCGAATGGCGACGCTGCATATGCTGACGCAACGCTGTAGTCCCAACATGGGCCCCCTGGCCACGCTTGACTTTCTGGCCACATAGTCGACATACGGCTACGTTTACTTCCTCGGGCGGCTTGACGAAAAATTGCCACACCGCCGAGTAGGAAACTTTGCCCCCGCTACTCCTCACTGGCTGACTGCTACTTCCTCCGTGCACACCGGCACCACTACTGGCCGTGGTGGTAGGCTGCAGTGGAGCTGGTGCTCTACTCCGTGGCAGGTTGCCTCCACTGACACTGCTGCGACCCTGCTGCCTCCTGGGCAATCCACCGACTGTTTTGCTCGCTGCCAAGCTGGTACCCTCTTCTCCTGATGATGCGGAAGCAATAGCCTGATGACGACGAGGCTGCCAAGTGCGATCAGCCTCATCATCATCAATTAGGGTCTCCGCCTCACTACTAGCCCCCTCAGCTGCGTGTGGGTCAGGAGACAGACCTGTCTCTAGACCGGCTACCGAGCCACTCTCCTCGCCAGTACTTCTTCGCCTGGCTGCTGAAGAGGCGGATGTCTCCCCCCGTTCCTGACCGCCCTCTGTTAGCTCTTCCTCACTGTACAGTGGGGCTGAGCCCACAGCATGCGATACTTCGCTTGGTGAGGGAACACCAAAGGACAGGGGCAGGTAGAGGACACGTGATTTCAGTGGGCTTGCTCCCGGGCCATGCCAACTAACGGTTGTGTCTGACGTACCCACCGACCGTTGGCTGTAGGTGTCAGAGGTGACCTGGGAAGAGGAAGACGACCAAGCCAACCAATCGATGACGGCAGGGTTGTCGGTGGAGACACGACCGCTGGATGACACCGGGAGCAGCACTGGCTTCCTCTGCTGCCACGTCTGCTCGCTCCTGAAACATTGCCTCCTCTGCCACTCCTCTGCGTGTTGTCTGACATACTCTTTAATTCAACGATTCTGTGTCCCTGAGTAACGATTCTGTGTCCCTGAGTAACGATTCTGTGTCCCTGAGTAACGATTCTGTGTCCCTGAGTAACGATTCTGTGTCCCTGAGTAACGATTCTGTGTCCCTGAGTAACCATTCTGTGTCCGTGAGTAACGATTCTGTGTCCCTCAGTAACGATTCTGTGTCCCTGAGTAACAATTCTGTGTCCCTGAGTAACAATTCTGTGTCCCTGAGTAACAATTCTGTGTCCCTCAGTAACAGTTCTGTGTCCCTCAGTAACAATTCTGTGTCCCTGAGTAACAATTCTGTGTCCCTGAGTAACAATTCTGTGTCCCTGAGTAACAATTCTGTGTCCCTGAGTAACGATTCTGTGTCCCTGAGTAACGATTCTGTGTCCCTCAGTAACAATTCTGTGTCCCTGAGTAACAATTCTGTGTCCCTGAGTAACGATTCTGTGTCTGTCCCTGAGTAACAATTCTGTGTCCCTGAGTAACAATTCTGTGTCCCTGAGTAACGATTCTGTGTCCCTAAGTAACGATTCTGTGGCCCTAAAGTCTCTGTGGCCCTAACTCTGTCCCTAATACACAGAGGTCTGTCTCTCTTGAATGACCGGAGGCTAATGGAGAATTCTAAGATGGCCGCGATTTATAGCTCCACCATTACACAGTGCTGGCTGGCTGGCTGCTGATTGGCTAATGCGATCACATGTCATGAATGAATGCATTATGGGTCAGCGCGCCTTGTCTGCGCGCCTTCCCAGAGATCCCCGCTCCGTCGCCACACATGTCGCCGCCATTTTTGGGAAAATTCGATTCGTGCATCCGAAGTTTGCTAATTTTTGGATTCGGTGCGAATCGAATATTTCCTAATCTTCGAAACGAATTCCACTTCGTCATGTTCGATTCGCTCATCTCTAATCCCTATGTCAATCTCCCAATGAGGTTTAATAGAATAAGCCAGATCGGAGACCATTGGGGTGAGGAGAAGTTTATACAGAGTGGATATCAACTTTTGTGATTCTTCCCCATAGACAAAGAGAGGACTGGCACATTTTCTGCAAACTGAGACGCTAAAGCATGCCGCACCTGAAGGTAATGGAATAGCATATAGAACACTTGTTTCAAAACCTCAAAAGTTTTTACCACCTCATTGGATTGTACGTTTATTAAGAAGGTATAGCCCCCTACATATCCACAGCCTGGGGTCTGGAATAGTTAGGAGTTCAGGTAACAAACAATTGGACCAAGGAGGAGTGTCTGTATGAAATTGAGAGGCATTTATTCTAGAGGTGGCAAGGTCCCAAAGCCTTTTGTAATGCTGGGCCATCCCTTTAGTAGAGACCTGCGTGGCAGGGCCTGAATACCCCTAGTAATATTACAGAACGGGTGTAAACTTGAGATTTCTGGGTCGGAGACTAGAGCACTAAATCTCTGCCTCTCATATGATAAATATTGAAAAGTTGGGCAGCTAGGTAAATATAGTGCAAGGTATGGCAGAGCCATGCCCCCCAGAGAGGTTGGTTCTTAAGTATGTGCCATGTCAATTTATATCAACTGCTACCCCAGATAAAGGGTTTCAGAATCACATCCATAGTCTTAAATTACCTAAGTGGGATGTAGACTGGGGAATGCCAAAGTACATAGGTGTTTTGGGTTGAACTGGGTTAGTAAAAATGGTTCCGTTGCCCAAAATCCTCCAAGGGAAAAAGAAGGGAAAATAATGGTTACCCATCCGTGAATTTAATAAAACTTTTTAAACTCTCAAGATGATTTTTTGGAATTTTTTTGGTAGAACTACATATGAATTTCTCAATTTTGGTGGCCCCCTCTTTTGTGGAGAACTGCTGAACCCAACCCATTAGGCTTAACTAAAGATTTATTTCCATTGCTAAAGGATCTTTGTCCAGCACATTGCTCCTGCTTTCACTGAACATTAAAAACTTGACGATGCACTAATCCTTCCTGGATTATCCAAAACTACAAAAAATCTTTTTTTTCACCATACATATACTTTAATTTATACATAACTTCTGATTGTGTCTGAAGCTTTATTAAATATAAAAATTAGCGTGTTTTTAACCATCTTACCACTGCCATTTGTGCCATATGGAAGGTGAAATTTGGACTGTGATGTGACCCAGAAAAAATCACTGAACTTCAGAAAAACAGGGGGGTCTCTGGAGTAGCTGAAACACAATAGCAAAATATTTTATAAGAATGTTTGCCAAAAGGTGACCAAGTCTACTACTATGTGTAGAATGGATAGCCACCAGGACCTTTTTAGGCACAAATGATGCATATGATACATCATTTGGTGGCTCTCTCTGAATTGGCTGAAGTGGCTCTTGAAAATATTGTAAGAATATCGTAACTATATTTGTTCAGTTGGTGCCGAGGTCAGGTTAGTGGTGAACAACTGATCAAAGTATTAGGTATGCACTCTTCCTTTTGTTATGATTAGTTTTTTTCAGACAAAAGGTTAATTTTTGGAGATTCGGATGTATATGAATCTCTGAATGGGCATAGTAACAAATGTCAACAAATCTGAAAAAAACATTATAATGAAAATAACAAATGCATTTGTTTCATTCGTGTGACGTCACATTGTGCGCTAGTAGGGCCTCTTTCACACGGTGTTCCGTATGTCCGTTTCTCATCTGTTTTTGGATGAAAAACAGACACCCATGTATTTCTATGGACTAGTGGATGTAAACGGATGATCATCTGTTCACATTTGTTAATGTCCGCATCCGTTATCTTCCATTTTTTTGAATGGAAGAAAACCCTATTTTTCTTTGTTTACAAAATATGGAACGGATGAAAAAAATATGTAAACGGATGAAAAACAGACGAAAAATGGATGAAAACTGATGAAAAATGTGTCAGGGCAGGGCTGTGGAACGGACAGGTAGGCCTAGTGGCAGGGTAACGCACTGGCTGACGACAACCACCACCAACAGACTGAAGTCCCTCAGGGCGCGGAGTCTAAGTCCCAGGCTGCCCTTCACCAGGGCCCCTGATGGTGGGGATGGACTTGACGCAACCAGGGACCAGGTCGCGGCCCCCGAGACACCCCAGCTGCGGTAATGGCCGCCGCCAATGGCGTGTAGTTGGTGAGAATGACAATAGCGTAGTCAGACAAGCCGGGTCAATAACAACGGGACAAAACAGTACAGAACAGTAGACAGAGAATCACAGGTCACGGGCCGGGTTCAGCAACAGAAGGTCAGATCAAAGGGAAACGCAGAGAATGGTCTTAGTCACAAGCCGAGTCAGAATACCAGAAGAGTCACGAGCGTATACACAGAGCTGTAGCAAGACAAAGACACAAGACACAAGTGCAAAGAGCATGTGCAGATCCCAGGCTTATATGTACTCAGCCACACCCCTCTGGGGGATGGACCTCAGAGACCTGAAGGCATAAAAGATTCCCATCATGCTCAGCAGAAATCCAAGATGGATGCTAGCACATGAGTAACATAACCTCTGGGAAAAGGTAGGACCTTGACAAAATGGAAGATTTCTCTTGGGTTGGATTAGCATCTTGAATATTTCCAATTTGATAATATATGAAAAATGTAGTACCGTATATACTCGAGTATAAGCTGAGTTTTTCAGCACATTTTTTGTGCTGAAAAACGGCCCCCCCTCGGCTTATACTCGAGTCAACGTCTGCGGGGGGCTGCTGTCTCTTACCTGGCTCCGGTCCCACGACGATCCGGTCCAGGAAGAGCGGCTGCTCCTTCATTCGGTTCATCCACTGGATGTTCGCGCGGCTGCTCGGCTCCGCCTTCTCACCGGTGATTGGCCGCCAGAACTGTAGCTCAGGAAAGGCACACAGGCGGCCAATCACCGGCGAGGAGGCGGAGCTGAGCGGCCCCGTGAAAATCGAGTGAAGGAGATGCAGGTAAGTGTTGCCGTGCTTAGGTGCTGCTGCAACCACATATGCTGGCTGCAGCAGCACCATACTGGAACAGGGGTCAGCAAGTGTCAGTGGGAGGAATAGTGCCCCATCATTGGTGTCACTGATACCAATGATGGGGCATTATTCCTCCCACTGACACCAACGATGGGGCACTTTTCCTCCCCCCCCCACTGACACCAAATGATGGGGCACTATTCCACCCCCCACTGACACCAATCATGGAGCACTATTCCACCCCCCACTGACACCAATCATAGGATACTATTCCTCCCCCCCACTGACACCAACGATGGGGCACTTTTCCTCCCCCCCACTGGCACCAACGATGGGGCACTATTCCTCCACCCCCCCACTGACACCAATGATGGGATACTATTCCTCCCACTGACACCAATGTTGGGACACTATTCCTCCCACTGACACCAATGATGGGACACTATTCCTCCCACTGACACCAAAGATGGAGCACTATTCCACTGACACCAATAATGGGGTGCTATTCCCCCCACTGATACTAATGATGGGGCACTATTCCTGCCACTGATACCAATGATGGGGCACTATTCCTCCCACTGACACCAATGATGGGGCGCTATTCCTCCCACTGACACCAATGATGAGGCGCTATTCCTCCCACTGACACCAATGATGGGGCACTATTCCTCCCACTGATACCAATGATGGGGCACTATTCCTCCCACTGACACCAATGATGGGGCACTATTCCTCCTACTGATACCAATGATGGGGCACTATTCCTCCCACTGATACCAATGATGGGGCACTATTCCTCCCACTGATACCAATGATGGGGCACTATTCCTCCCACTGACACCAATGATGGGGCACTATTCCTCCCACTGACACCAATGATGAGGGCACGATTCTTCCCACTGGTGTTCCCACCCTCGGCTTATACTCGAGTCAATAGTTTTTCCCCCAGTTTTTTGTGGTAAAATTAGGTACCTCGGCTTATATTCGGGTCGGCTTATACTCGAGTATATACGGTAATCGTCGGAAAAAACTGCAACACTTTTTGAATCCACCTGGACC